ACATGAGAGCTGTCTTTGGGTATCTGAAGACTTGTCATGTGCAAGATGAATGAGACCTCCAGAAAAACTCAGGAAAGATTTGCTAAGAGAGAAAGTTGTCCCAAGTTACACTGGGCTGCCTAAGAGATTATAGACTTAATTTCATTGAGGGTCTTCAAGTAGAAGTTAAATGACCACTTATCAAGTCAGGTCAACTCAGTAAGTATTATATACCTACTGTGTGCCAGGCACCTGCTGAGAGCTAGGGAAAGGCAAAGGAAGGCAAAAGATAGTCCTTGCCCACAAGGAGCTTACACTCTAAAGGGAGAGAGAGAACATGAAAATAATTATTTACAGATCCAAGGATGAATTGGAGATCATCACCAGAGGGAAAGCATTAACCTGGGGGGTGCGGTTTTCCTGTAGAAAATGGGGTTTTAGTTGAGAGACTAGAATTATGCCAGAAAAGCCAAGAGTCAGAAGTGCCTGATTTCTACTCATACTCATTAAGTCTGGTAAGTAAAGAAAGAAAATTTCAGTTCTAGCCATGAGGGATAGCCCTTGAAAATACCTGGAGTTGGGAAAACAGCCAAGAGGCTGGTGTTGCTGGATTGAAAGGTACATGTTTGGAAGGAGACTGGAAGAGGGGGTGGGTTATGTAGGGTTTTGAAGGCCAAACAGCATTTTGTGTTTGATTCTGAGGGTAATAGGGAGACAATGGAGTTTACTGAGTAGGGAAGTGACATTGGGCTTTAGGAAAATTACTTTAACAGCTGAATAAAGGATGGACTGGAGCAGGGAGAGACTCGAGGCAGACACACCACCCCCCTTCCCAGCAGCTATTGCAACAGTCCAGGTATGAGGTGATGAGGATGTGCAGCAGGGGGGGGAACAGCGACAGATAAGAAAAGGGAGTGTGTCCCAGAGATGCTGCAGAGGCGAAATGGACCAGAGGTGCTGCAGAGGCAAGATGGACCAGAGGTGCTGCAGAGGCGAAATGGACCAGAGGTGCTGCAGAGGCGAAATGGACCAGAGGTGCTGCAGAGGCGAAATGGACCAGAGGTGCGGAAGAGGCGAGATGGACCAGAGGTGCGGAAGAGGCGAGATGGACCAGAGGTGCTGCAGAGGTGAGATGGACCAGAGGTGCGGCAGAGGCGAAATGCACCAGAGGTGCAAGGGACCAGAGATGCTGCAGAGGCAAAATGGACCAGAGGTGCAATGGACCAGAGATGCTGCAGAGGCAAAATGGACCAGAGGTGCTGTAGAGGCAAAATGGACCAGAGATGCTGCAGAGGCGAGATGGACCAGAGGTGCAATGGACCAGAGATGCTGCAGAGGCAAAATGGACCAGAGGTGCTGCAGAGGCGAAATGGACCAGAGGTGCGGAAGAGGCGAAATGGACCAGAGGTGCGGAAGAGGCGAGATGGACCAGAGGTGCGGAAGAGGCCAGATGGACCAGAGGTGCGGCAGAGGCAAGATGGACCAGAGGTGCGGAAGAGGTGAAATCGACCAGAGATACTCAGAAGTGAAATCGACCAGAGATACTCAGAAGTGAAATCAACCAGAGATGCGGCAGAGGTGAAATCTATAGGCCCTGGAATCATATTGAACATGGAGGGTGAGAGATAGTGAGGAGTCCAGGATGACACTTAGGTTAGGTGTCTGAGGGATGGAAGGATGGTGTTACCCTCCACAGTAACAGAGAAGGTAGACATGCCCCTGCTGGGTTTGAGGCCTGCTGGTTTAACCCGTTTGCTAAGATATTTTTACCGGAATGTGGCCACTGCTCATGCTACAGCTTCCCGGAGCAACATCTGAAAGTTGGGTGAAAGGTGGACACCAAAGGTCAATAAGCAGCCCTGAAAAGGGCTTGGCGAGCCCTCACACCAGAGGTGCTGGTCCTCCCTTAACACCCCATCCACCCCAAGCATATGAAGACTTCCCTCAGTGAAATGGGTGGACGAGAACAATTTGTTCCAGGGGCCAGGAAGCCCTGTGGAGCGCTTAGAGGTTGGTCAGACATCGAAGATGCCAAGGTCATCCACTGCATCCTGGGCCACTAGTTGTCCTGATTTGTCTTGCTACTGGACTTCAACGACTCAGGAAGAGTGAGGCTAATGACTTTGTGCGACTCTGCCTCACTGAAACCCAATTCATACACAAGTCATCATGACCCTATGATGTCAGTCCTCTCTGAAAATGAAGGACAAACGACAATGGGAAAGACAGGAAGGGGACGGGGATCATTCAGAGGGTAAGGTGATGAATTTGGTTTTGAATATGCTGAGCTTAAGATGTCTGTGGAACATCTATTTGGAGGTGTCCAGTTGACAGCTGGAGATTCTGAGGCTGGAGCTCTGCAGAGGGATGGGCAAACAGAGCTCAGCTGGTATGTTATACATGGGATTGCTTTTGGGTATACGCTGGACGACGCAGCCCCTGAGGTCCCTCTGAACTCCCCAAATTCTGTCATTCTGTGACTTCCTCTCCTCGACCCTGAAAGGCAGACCTGACAACAAAGAAATCCCAGAGAAGGCCTTGATGGAGAGAAACTTCCCCATGAGGCTGGGATGGTAATGAGCTTCCCCCAGATTGTCTGGTAGAGGCCGGACAGCTACTGGTCATTCGTAACATAGCAGGGTCATGAGAAAGTGATGGATTGAGAGATATGAAGGGACCCATACAACACTCCGTTTCTGGTAACCTGAGGGCCAGAAGGGTCCAATGATGGGAAACACTCTCGCTTCTCACTTCTGCTTAATCCTAATGCCTCCTTCCTCTGACAGCAGACACCCACAGCAGCCTTTCTGGGCAGGAAGGGCCACCTGAAATCCACTCAGATGATGGTAACGAGGAAACATTTTTCTGTCCATTCGCTGAATTGGACAAACCTGAGAACACCGCATACATAAAGGGCCCACCTCTCAGAATCTGGCCTCCACTTCCAAGGCAAAGCCTATTGGTTCTCCCCCAGGGCAGATTCAGGCTTTCAGAACCTGGGGGCCTGAACCCCAGAATTCCCAAAATGTGCCTCCACCCTCAAGCCTCCCTGTGGGTTCTTCTACTTGGTGTTGAAGACTGCCTGCAGAGGCAGCATGATTGCTTACCCCTAGACCCCGGCTTCCTTCCTGAAACTCAAACCTGCTTAGGTTCACTTGCTCACCTCCCTCTAGCACCAGGACCTTGCCGGCTCCAAGGGGCACAGAGCAGCAGATCAAGGTGTTAAGAGGATCAAATGACTTTTTTATAAAGGATTACAAAATTCTGAAACCCCTCGGTTTGGTATCCTCTGCCCCCACCTCCAACACACAGATGATAAGCTCCCCAAGGGCAGGGGTCATGCAACTTTTGTACCCCCAAAGTGTCCTAGCCACAGGAGCCATCCCATCCTTTCCTGGAAGACAAGTCCGAACCAGACTCAGTTCCCTCCAGAGTACTGCCTCTCAGTCAAAACCCTGTCCAACTGTCCTGAGAAATGAGTGTGTGAGCCCTCAGAGCCGTCAGCCTGATTGCCATCCTGGAGAGTTGGCAGCCCCAATCCCCACACTGCCCCTCCCTGACAGCCTTTGGATTAATGCCCCTTGATCAAATGGAATTTCTGGGAAATCCACCCCCCAGCCCCTGCTCCCGATTGGCTGGAGCCCTCCCTGAAGAGAAGACACAGTGCCAGGAAGGCAATTGGCAAAGCTGATTCACTTTCATGCTCAGCACCCCTGGCCTTCCTCCTCCAACTCCTTAGAGAACCTGCACTAATAGGTTTACAACCCTTGAGCATGTTCATCAATAATGGAATCAGCTAGGGCCCAGCACCCTTTGAAGTGAGCCATGGCACTGGGCCCTAGCCAGCAGTGTTCTTGTTCCAGCCAGGCTGCCAGTTCCCACACCCGCACCTGAAGCCAGGTGGCACACTGAACACCCCACTGCAGGGACAGAGGTCCTGGACCACTCCAGGTGCCAAGGCCCTTCCCTCCATGCCTATTTCCTCTTCTATAAAATGAGAGGGTTGGACTACCCTCTAGCACTCAATGAAGACTGGGGTGGGGGGGAAGGAGGTGCACCATCGTTGGGGACAGTGGGGTCCCCCCATTGGGGGTCTTTTAAGTAGAGTTGGTAACCATTTGTCAGGGAATCTTTGGTCAATATGGGTTGGCCTTACTGGCCTGTCCAGCTCCAAGACAGTGGGAACACAGGTCCCAGAAGGCAAGGAAAGGCCAACACAGAGCAGCAGATACTGGGGCCTGAGAAAACCAGGCCCCTCTTGCCTGCCTCTGATGGTCTCCCTCCCCTACCCCTCCTGCTCAGCTGGAGCCCCTGGGCACTGACTGCCTTGAGCAGGGATGGCTAATATTCACTGACCGAGTGCCAGGAACCCCTGGCCCCATGAATCGGGGCTTCACTCAAAGAACAGACCTTCTCTCTCTTTTGCTGAGGGCCTTGGAAGCATGGGGGGAGGGGGGGAAAGAACCAGGGGTGGCCAGTCAGAGGCACCATGGAGTGCCCCCCACCCCACACCCAGTCCCTCTTGGGCCCCAGTGCAGATGGCTGCCCAGAACCTGGGCCCCAGCCCAGCTGTGTGACCCTGACTGGGTGTCATGCTCTTTCCCTTGACTGCACTTTCCTCCTGTGCAGAAGACAGTGGCTTTTAAGGCCCAGTGTCCCCCTCGGGGAAACACCTGCCTGGGGCCACCCTTGTGGAGGGCAGGGGCTGAGGTCACTCTGGGAGTAAAACCCAGACATGTGTGGACAAGGACGGATGCAAGCCCCGGGTGACCCCCACTGCTAGCGCTGAGGGCACCCTCTGTCCCTGTGCCATCTGCTCAAGCAGAAGACCCCAGTACAAGTAAGGCTGGGAGCTCACTCCTCTCAGGGGAGTGAGGAAAGAGCCTTAGAGACGTCAGGGAAGCAGGAAAGTGGCCCCTACTGGCTCGGCCAGTGGGCAGACCTGTGGGAGCCTGCTGAGCCCCTGGGCCCTCCCCCAAGGGTCTGCTGGGTAGGCAAGGAGACACCGGAGAGCACCAGACTTCATGGAAACCTTTTATTGTCTTCACAAGGACAAACCAAGCCGGAGGGACTGGGGAGGCTGACAGACAACAAGAGGCCCCAAGGAAATGAAGGAAAGCGATGGGGGCCATCAGCGTTCCATGCCCCAAGAAGCGGCTCTCTCCCTTCGCTGGGACGGTATTTGGTTTGGTTATTACCAAATGATCCCTTCCCCAACAACAGAGCGAGCTCCCTCGTACCAGGATCGTGGGGGAGGCAGAGGTCGAGGGGGCCGATTTCAGCCCGGTACAACAAGTGGGAGACGATTAGCTGTCCAGTGACGGAAAGCGCTTCCATGCCTGCTGGGAGGCCGACTGTCCTGGAGGCGTCCCCCGCGCCCAGTGGCGCTCAGGCTTCCTCGCTCTCTTCCTCCGCAGTCCCCTTGAGCCGGAGGTGATCTCTGCTCCTCTTTCTGCTGCTGTGGAAGCCCACGGGTACGGCGGGGGGCTCCGAGGGGGAGGCCTCCTCTTCCTGCATGGCGGCATCCCGGGGCTCCGCCCGCCTCCTCGGGGGCTCGTCTCCCTCGGCCTCTACGTCGGGGCCCCCCGCCGAGCCCAGGTGGCCCAGCGCCACCAGCTCGTCCCCGGGCTCCCTGTCGTCTGCCCTCCACGGGGGCCGCCTGCGCTCCGACCCGGCCTCGCCGGCCTTGGCGGGCTTGGTGAACACAATCCTGCCGGCCCCGCGGCTCGAGGGGTCCTGGTTGAAGGAGGGGGCGCAGCTTTCTTGGGGCGCGGGGCTCTGGCCCCCCGCCCTCTTCTTCAGGTCCCCCAGGAACTCGAGGGCCACGGCTCGGTTGCTGCGGTCGCTGCCCTCGGGGACGTCCTCCAGGCTGTACTTGGTCCAGCGCTCAGGATGCGTCACGTAGTCGGGGACCTGGGCTCGGACGGGCCTCCGCGGGGGCCCGGGGGGCGGCAGGGGCCGTTTGAAGGTCCCGGCGTCGGGCGCGGGGGGCGCGGGGGCCGCAGCGGGGGGCGGGAGGGTCCGGGCCGCCCCCTCCAGGCCGTCAAATATGCTGCGGCTAAGCAGGGAGAAGGTGGGGCTCATGCCCCGCAGGTGGAAGGGCCGCACGGGGCTCCCGGGGCGCTGCGGGGGCTCCTCGGGGGGCTCCTCGTCCTCCGATTCCGCCGCCTCCTCCAGGAAGGGCGGCTCCCCCGGGGACGGCCCGGCCGAGCCCGAGTCCGAGTCCGAGTCCGAGTCGCTGAGCGAGCCCGTGTCCGACGGCATGGCCTCGCAGTCCGGCAGCAGCCCCAGCGACGCGTCGCCGCCCCCTCGGTCCGCCATCGCCGGCCTCCCCGGCCTCAGTTTCCCCAGGGCCGCAGTGCGAGGTGGGGGGACCTCGTGCTGGTTCTGGCCTCTGCCGGCTGTGGTGGGGGGAGGGGAGAGCAGAGCCTGTGCAGATGGGGAAACCGAGGCGAAGTACTGACACCCTGACCAGGGTCAGTCACGGGGGGTGGGGGGGGAGGGTGATACTGAGGCTCGGGGTCACGAGGGTTCCCCGCGCTAGCCGCGGCCTGGGGGGGGGGGCTCACTGCTCCCAGCCCCACCTCTTACAGAAGGGGAAACCGAGGTAGGGCTGTGCCGGGCTGGGCCCAAACCCTGAGACCTGCCTTAGGGAGAGCAAACCTGCAGCCACCATCTTGGGCCTCGAGGATGAGCCGGCCCCGCCCCCCCGCCCGCACGGCTTTCTGGGAAGCCGAGTCCCCGCCCCCTTCACTGCCCGGGGCTAGTCCAAAGGAAAACGACAACCCCCACAATGCAACACGGTGACGTCCCGGCCAGGGGACCGAGCGCGCCGAAGGAAACCTCTGCACGTGACCCTCTGAGGAGGAGGCCGGATCTCGCGCATGCGCCTTGGCCTCCCGGAAGACCGGTCCTCGCGCGGTTTTTCAGATACCGACTCTTCGGCGTGGGCTGAAGAGGGAGGGGGCGAGATGAGCGGAGGACGCCCACAATGCCTCGCGGGACGGGGCGGGGCGGGGCGGGGCGGGGCGGGGCTGCCTGGATGGAGGCGTGCAACAGCGCCGCCTGCCGGAGCCGCCCAACGCTGTACGCTCCCCGCGGTGCGGGGGCGGGAAGGCGATCGCCTCCTCCCGGCGGCCTTCTGGGACGGAGCCTCTGTCCTGGCTCCGGGGCGTGTGGCTCGGCCCTGGTGGGCAGGGGGGGGGGGGGGGACAGGCGAACAGAGGGGGCAGGCCCCGCCCTTCCCCCCTCCGCTCTCTCCCTGGGGATCCGCCCGACCTTGTGCAGGGCTGATTGATTCCCTAATGCCCTCATTTTCAAGTGAGGAAACTGAGGTCTGGGAGGGGAAAGAGAGGAAGGGGGAGGGGAAGGAGAAGGAGGAGGGGAAGGAAGAAGCGGAGGGGGGGAGGGGAAGGAAGAAGCGGAGGAGGGAGGGGGAGGGGGAGGGGGGAGGAGAAGGGGGAGGGGGAAGAAGGGGAGGGGAAGGAAGAAGCGGAGGAGGGAGGGGGAGGGGAAGGAAGAAGCGGAGGAGGGAGGGGGGGAGGAGCCATTCTGGGCCCCGGATGTTCCTCCTTTGCGCTCCCACCCTTCGGGAGTGACGTCACCCGCCGTCTGCGCGCCTGGAGAGGGCCAGGCGAGAGCACACACCCTGCGGCCCGGAGGAGTGGGGCAGGGTGGGGATTTGGAATCAAAAGAGGTCACTGATAGCTGGGGAAACTGAGGCCCAGGGATGTTCAGGGACCCCAGCCCTCATCCTCGGCCACAGCCATCTGGGGTCAGGCCTAATTGTTACTATGGGCGGCGCGTCTCAGACGCTGACCTGACGACGTCACCCCTCCCTCCGTGAACTGCCGAGGCTCCCTAGGGCCTCCAGCATCCGCTACAGCACGCTCTGCCCGGCATTCAAGGCCCTCTCCCCCCGGCGACCCCAGGCAGTCCTGCCCCTCCTGAAGCCCTCCCCCTTCGGTGGCTAATTCCCCGTTTATCCACAAATACTGCGTGTTGAGTCTAGGGTAGGGAAAGCCTTCGGCCGCCGTTTGTGCCATTCCCGGCACACACCAGGCGCCTAATGAACGCACGGAGCTCGGCCCCGTCCCCCCACCCCCTCGGGCCGGCCGGGCTGGCGGGCTGGCATGCCCAGCTCCGCCCGAGCTGCCGCTGGGATAGGTCCCTTGACGGGAGGAGGCGGGACTTGACGAGGCTCCCGTCTCCCCATTGGCTGG